CCCCTGAGGGGTTGCGGGGCCGTGAGGGGCTAAGGGGGCCCCTGAGGTGGTGCGGGGGCCGCTGAGGGGTTGCGGCGGGGCCGTTGGTGCCGTTGAGCGCGCGCTGCTCCCGAGGCGCCGCCTCGCTCCCCTCAGGCGGCAACGGCCGCGCCGCGTGCTGGAGGAGGGCGGGGCCCGCGCAAGCCACGCCCCCATCTCCGCCAGGAGAGGGGCGTGTCCCGCCGCCGTCACGCGCTGATTTGCATACGCCGTGCGTGCCGTGGGGCGGGCGGGCGGACGCCGGAGGTGGCGGATCCAAGATGGCGCCGTGCGGACGTGTCCGGAGCCGCTGCCCGGGCCCGGCGCTGCTCCTGCTGCTGGCGCTGGCGGCGCGGCCGGCGGCGCCCGGCCCTCCCGCCGGCCCTCCCGGCGCCGCCGGTGCCCTGCCCGGAGTGGCGCAGCCGGCGGGGCCGGGCGCGGCCGTCCCGCGGAGCGCCCGCGGCGGCGGGTCGGGCAGCGGGTGGAAGCTGTCGGAGGAGGCGGTGTGCCGGGAGGACGTGGTGCGGCTCTGCTCCAAGCACAGCTGGGCCAACAACCTCGCCGTGCTCGAGTGCCTGCAGGACGTTCGCGAGGTGAGGGACGGGCCCGGGGCCGGGCCGGGCCTGCCCGCGGCGGCGAACAAAGAGCGGGGTCCGCGCCGCCCGCGCCGCGCTTCCCTCATGGGCTTGTGCTTTAGAAAGCGGGGTTTGCGCTGCGGAGCCCCAGCCGCTGGCGGGGTGGCGGTGAGGGCTGCGGAGAGCGGCCCCTCCTCGTCCGCTCCTCGGGGCTCCGGCAGCGCTCGGCGGGCAGGGAGAGCTGCCGGCGCTGGCTTTGTGCTCTGCCTCCGGAGCCTCCGGGGTTATTCGCTTCCAGAGCCCTGCCCGCGTAGAGTTGAGCGAAGGCGCCGTGCTGGTGGCAGCAGTGACCTGAGGAGGTGGGTTTTTTTCACGTTCGCGTTCCTGCCTTCTCGTGGAGCTCCGCTGCAGAGGCGGCTGGTTTCCAGTCCTCGCTTGTGCGTGTATGAAACTCGAAGCCAGTCTTTAGATCCGGCTTAGTTCACGGGGAGGTTTATGTGTTGTTCCCAAACATCTGTCGTGAGCGGTTTTAAGTCCAGCTCAGGAAAAAAACTGAGTTGCCAGCTCAGAGTCTTCCAGCTCCATCTTTTCATTCATTCCTGGGTTCTTGCTCCGTTTGAAGCAGCCTTTGGGGGAAGTGCTTTTGGTGAGCTGTTCTGGTGTTGAGGTCTGTGTAGTTCTTGGCTTCTCTGCTGTGAAGTCCAGGAATGTCAGGCTGGGTCAGTTCTAATGGTGTTTTTACCCAAATGGGAATGCGATTAGGAAAAACCTGGGCTCGTTTCTCATCCGTTATTATGGAGACAGCAGATGGCAGTGGCAATGGTTACTCTCATCGAGGGGAATCTTGAACCAGAAAGTGTCAGTGATTGCTTCTGGCTTATAATCCAAGACTAATTTAGATTTTTATCTAATTTAGTGTTTTAATTTTGGGCGGTTTATTAAGACATTTGTAGATGCTTTAAGTGAGTCCTGCTGCAGCTTCTATCACAGTTATGAAACGCTCTGATAATTTGCTTTATGAATAACTTGTCCTTTGCTGTTTCTTCCACCTATCTGGGACCTTTTGGCCTCCTTTTAGGGAGGCATCCTATCCAAGAGGATCTTGGAAGCTGCTCTCACAGGCGGTTGCTCACAAGCTGCCAGCCTGCCAAAAAGGCAGGCTCTTGTTGTTCCTTTCTTTGCAGTTGCATAGCCCCTCCCTTCTCTTTTCATAGTTCCAGTGCTTGTTGGTCTTCTGCCATTTTAGCAAGGTGAACCTTTTTGTGGTCTAGTTTATCAGCTTTCTGCTGGAATAGTTGTGTCCCTTTTGTGAGTTAAAGCCCAGAGGGGGGTGGGTGCAGGGCTGGGGCACGGGGCTGTGCAGGGAGGCTCAGGAGGTGAAGGCAGGCTTTGCATCACGCTTTATTTTCAGCATGTGCAAACCCTCATGCTGGCTCTGCATATCTGCTGAGAACTCTGCTCTTTTGAACGTCTGCTTGTGGTTTTCCTTTTCCTACTCCTAGGCCTGCCCGATGTCAGTAGTTTGCTGGCTGTTGGTCTTGTCTGGCTGTAGTTCTGCCTGATGCCCAGTGCTGAAGGCAGATCTTCTCCTGGGTGGCATCCCAGGCATCGCCAGGACATCTCAGGGTTCTTTTGGGTCGAGTTTTCTCTATGAAGGTGCCACTCTGCAGCCCTGTCCTTATTTGTGTGTCAGCCTGCAAAGAGCACTGTCAGCTGGCCTTACCCTCAGCAGTTCTGCTGGAACACTGATGTGATGGGCTGTGTCCTGATGCAAAAAGGACTTCACAGAGGGCTGCCCTGAGAAATTAATTAAAATAACTGACTTCTGCCTACCCCTACTGTTTAACTCTTGATATTTAGACTGTGGATAAAAGTCATGAGTTGTAAACATTAGGTAGCACTTCATCTGATAGGGAGCAGGGTCAGATATGGTCTCAGATGTTTCCTTTGTGTTGGAGGTGACAGTGGAGGAAACAAGTGACGTATTGGCTGTTTCACTGTTGTTGATATAACTTTTAATTTTGACCCTAGAGCATCTGACTGCTTGTTTGGACGATACCAGAAAAGTGACAATTACATTTTAAAATGGATCTAGTCTGAGTCATACAGCCCACTTAAAAACAGTCAGGCTACAGTAGATGGAAGATTTGGGGGAGTATTGTGCTTGAGAGCATCAGTGAGGACAGTGTGTGGACACTACTTCTCTACAAGTAGTAGGTAAGATTTTTAGATGCAGGTAGGCTACAGAAGCAGCCTTTCTGCTGTAGGTGTTTGTCTTACTTTTCTCATAAAAAATATTCCTCTAAAGGGGTGAAACTTTCAGTTTGAAACTGGAAGTGTTACTGATAACGGTGTGATACATGTAAGCTAGGACACTTTTAAGTCTGAATAACCTGGGGAAACAACTGCTTGTAACCTTCCTTTTGAGTCCATAAAGCATAGAAAAAAGAAAAGGTGTGCTTGTTTTGTTAGTGTGAATGTGATCATGTTGTTCCAGTCCCTGCTGATTTCTAGGTGTGGAAGTCTTTAGAGTAAGTCCTCCCTTTCTTTCTCTGGGTTGTTCTCTTTGAATGTAAAGAAGTGTTGAGTTGTGGTTGACTGGGATAGGAGCTCAGCTTGCAGAGTGAATGTTGAGAGAAGCTGTTTAACACATATGTTCAGTAAAGAGTGGTTTGACATAAAGAAAACAGTAATAAAAAACCGAAAACCAACCCACACCCAAAACCCAGCCCAAAACAACAATGGCACAAAGCAAGAAAACCCACCCAAACCAACCCCCAAACCAGTAAATTTTTGAGTTTTGGTTTTGAGAGGTTACTTGTAGAATGTCAGTTTGAAGTATTATCAACACAGTTATTTAAGCACTGTGTATTTTTAGAATTCTTTTAAAAAGAAAAAACAGACCCCCCCACTGATACCAAATACTTATTACCACTGATTTTTCCACTGAGTGCAGAGTCCATTTCTACAGGGGCAGAACTCTTCTGCATTTCAGGCTGTCCAACTTTTTGAAAGATAGAAATCAGAGGAAAATCATTGTTTTCTGCTTTTCTTTTGTAGTAGAAGGATGGGAAGGATGCTCCTTGATTGGAAGAAGTAGTGGTCAGAGCTACTCAGCTTAAACATTTTTGAATATAATCAAAATATAGAATAAAACACATGTTTTGGTGCATTTTGCAGATGAATTAACTTCCTTCTAGCTAAAAGTACTTGTGCATTTATTACAGTTTTGAGTGACTTAAAATTTTGTTATCAAGGTTTTAATTGATATTCACATAACTTTGTCATCATATAAAAAGAGTAGAATGAGGTAGTGTGTACCTGTGTTTTTAAAGACTGTGTTCCAAAGTGCTTCTTTCTGAAAGGATTCTGGTTTGGAGCCTGTTTCTGGAGAACCTTCAGAGCTTGCATTTCACTGAGCATGGGCTGCAGCCCCTAAGCCCTTTTTTGTGGGCTGCCTGCTAAACTGATTTGCATGGTGGCTATAGTATAAATAAACCCATGAAATAGTAATATTTTTGCTAGGTAACAATTTTTGCTTGATTAATGATGATTTGCATTTGAAGCAAAAGTTGTTGAATTTGAGGCAGGAAACATTAGAAGGTATGAAAATAATCTTAAGCAGGAGCTCTCTTATCAGGTTTACTAATGGAGCATAATTTCACTGTTAAAACCTACCTTGGAGCTGGTTAATTGGTGAATGAACTCGATGCCATAATTGTTGAGCTTTCCTTGCATTGCACTTGTAAAGATTGTGTAATGTTTCAGGCATTATATTAATCTGTATAATGCTAATGCATTAGGGGCTAAATATTTTTTTCTAAGATCAAACAGTCGTGGTTAAGTTGGGATTAGAGATCAAAGTCTTGGCTTCCTGCTACTTTCTCCATCCTGAATGGTTCTGTTTCTTTGGCAGCACCTTTGTGGGAAAGACAGTGCCTGAATGCTCTGCTTTTTGGAAAGAATAAGGTTCTCTTAATGTTGAGGACTGGGTTAAGAACAAGACAAGTTACTATGAAAGCTGCGTATTTCAAGAATAGTATTTTTCCTGTTTTGTCAGATGTTTATTCCACGTAAAAGGCCAGAAAATTAATTTGATATGACTTACTGGGCTAGGGAGTTTGTGCCATTTGATGGGCTGAGAACTGTCATGTTTCTTCTGTTCAAATGTTTTTATTCCTCACTCTTTATGGACCTGAGCTCCTTAAGTGATCTGATAAAACAGTGCCAGTGAAATTACTTATTTTAAAGTTATAGGTGGAAAACAGGAACCAGACAGCAACACATGCTTGGAGTCTTTATCTCTTTTGCTAATACTGTAACTGTAGGAAAAGTTGTGTGTGCTTAGTCTCTGTCCTGGTCCTGTAGTGTTTCTACTTTTTTGGTAAATGGATTGGAAATGCAAAGGCTTCCCTAAAGCTTTTTGCTTGCCTTGAGGTAGATGAGTGTGATCTGTCGCAGTAGCTTAATTTATTTTTATTTTATTTTTCCTCTTGTATCTCCTTAATTTACTGAGTTTAAGATCAAAGCTTTTGTTTTGCCTCACATGTGACATTATCCCGTATTTGAGCACATATTCATGTTGTTCCCATCTCTCCCAGCCGTGCCCAGGTGGCATTTAAAGTACCCTTTTTGAGATGTGTCATTTGTGGCAGCAAATGACTGGTTACCTGTCCAGAGCTAAAAAGGTGGTTGAGGGCTGTGGGTTAAACACACCGTGGGGGTGGGCTTGTTTTTAGGAAATGCAGATTGTGAAGCCACCCTTGCCCTAGCTGCCCATCTCTTTCAGCACTTATGGTTAGTTGGTTTTTTTTTCCACAGGCATTTTGCCTGACCTTCGGGGGAGCTGTTTTAAGTGGCAACTGCCCGTTTCTCAGGGTGATAAGCTGTGGAATGGAGGCTGTTCTGGTTCTCTGATCATTACTATTGCAAAGGAGGAGGCAGTTAGTATTCCAGTGATGCTCTTACAGTGCCTACAGCATTATCATCTGGTTCAGATATCAGCACTCAAAGGGTTG